TGAGGCGGTGGTCTATAAATAATCGAGACAAACCAGTGATTGACATCATGAGCATCGATCCACGCAATTGGAATACGATGACATGCATCAACCAAGTCAACAAGTCAGCGAGCTTGACCACCCGATTAGTCGCCTCTAACGACAAGCATAGTCGCCTTTTACGGCAAGAACGTTCAACATGTCCCGCTAAGAACCGTCTCTTCACAGCCCGCCTACGTGCAAGGCGTCCTGTGAAGGGTGTGACCCTAACAGCTTACGATAGGCGGCAAAGATTGGGTTGGGATAGGCAACTCTAGGGACGGGCTGTACGCAAATGGCGTTACACCAGGTTTGCAGCCGAATCAATGTTTTGTCTCCGATTCACAGATGGCAGAAAACGTTGTTGGCGACGTAGCGACGAGCGGTATGTCAGGGCAACGATTCTTGATCATGATCGGTATAGGGGCGGTAGTGTTGTAGTGTGGGGTGGTATTACACATGACAGGCGAACTGATTTGGTTATTGTGAAAGGGTACTTGACTGGCCAACGATATGCCGACGAAACTGTGCGTTCTGTCGTTGTTCCAATCGCCAGAATTAACGGCAGAATGTTTCAACTGCAAGATGATAATTTCAGACATTTCAAGAATGGCCAGATCGTCACCGTGTATCTCCGACGTGAAGGCATACGGGCGTTGGACTGGCCCGCTAAGTTCCGTGACATGTCCCCAATAGAGTGAGTGAGTGAGTTGGGTTCAACGCCGCTTTTAACAGTATTCCAGTTATATCGCGGCGTGTCAGCTTAATGTGGGAGGAAAGCCCGAAGTGATGTATGGTGCTGACAAACCTAGAAACATAATCGGGGTGAACCGGGATTTGAACCAACAATCATTGGTTACTGGCGTGCCCAAGGGACGCAACTCTGCACAGCGAATCGCGGCGCCTTAGACGACTGGGCCAGCCGTGCCCCCTTTTCCCCAATAGAGCAGCTGTGGGATGTTCTTGGCTGGAACCATACCCGTGCTCGTGGGTTTCACCGAAGTGGTAATAGATAATAGCTGATAAATATTTTAATCCCTTTACTTTTCGTTGTAATTCCACAAACGTGAAATGACAAAAAGTGTCTACAAAACAGCGTTTCAAATTGAAATCGATATGGTAAAGTTTAAATATAGAAAGGAGTTGTTGTTTTTTTATACCAATGTACTCTATTGAACCTTCGTGTGATCGCCCCCTCGAGGAGTCAGATTCTAATTCGTGGATGTCTTGGATTTAATACATGGTTTATGCTCACAATGGCTAAACTTTTTCCAGAAAGTCTAGACAATTTCGAAACAGCTTGTAAAATTAGTGTTCAGTTCTATTTAATTTGAACATTTGAAAAGTGGGTGATTAATGCCTTGTTAAGTTCCATGTGTTGCATTTAAATGTCAACCAAGTGACAAATGTGTTACCAGGTTTAGACACAACAGATTTGGCGTTAGAAATATCACGATCCGTTCCAATAAAGAGGCGACACGCGTTATGCGATCCTTTTTGAAGAAAGTCATTTGTGTTTCGATTTATTGCTCAATGACGATATTGATAGTAAAATCTTGCCTGGCATACGTTATAGATTGTGTCTGTATCATACAAAATATCTCTGTTGTAACAGACATTTAACTAACATGATGTAGCAAACTGGAAACGGTCACGGGTGTCCAAGTCATCTAAGGCGCCGCAATTCGCTGAGCAGAGTTGCGTCCCTTGGGCACGCCAGAAACCTATGATTGTTGGTTCGCATCCCGGTTCGCCCCGATTATGTTTCTAGGTTTGTCGGTGGTTTCACCGAAGTGGTAAATGTCTAAGACCTGAATCACTTAGGGCTTTCCTCCCACGTTAAGCTGAAGCGACGTGATATAACTCGAATACTGTTCAAAACGGCGTAAAAACAACTCACAAACACAGACTGGAAAAGTTTCCCCAATACAATAACAGTGAATCATATTTGTTCTATCACGCTTGACTCACGATCAAGCATAGATCGGGTCCACACAGAGACCACTCCTTTGCCTAAAGGGAATACTTCCTTCAAATGCCTTTAAAGCTACGATGATTAATGTAGGACTTTTCGGAAACGCAGTTTGATATTACGGATATGCAACATCAATTTAAGAAAAGTTTTTTTTTCAAAAGTAAAAGCTCAAGATGACATATCTGCAACATATTCAGTAATCACCCCATATATACCACAAACGGAATTACTTTCAGATAAACAAATCTTGCTCGTTGGGGGTGATTTCATTCAAAAGTGTTGTTCATCCAGCAGCAGATGAAAACCCGGTAAGGTGAGATGGAATTATGAATTCAGAACGATCCTAATAGGCAGCTTGGGTTTTATACCCCCCAGGGAGTTGAGAAAGGAACATGAACGTACAAATACTAGAATTCGTTAGCCAAGGTAATACCTGTACGCGCTATGATCATATGTCGTATGGAGTTCGTGCTATACATATGCACATATTGTTATGATGCCTTTTATATATATATATATATATATATATATATATATATATATATATATATATATATATATATATATATATATATATATATATATATATAAATATATATATATATGTCATACTTTTTCATAAAATATCTGCGATATCAAATGATGCGAGATGATTTGTAGAATGTTCATCTGAAAATATCCAACCACATTCTGGTTAAAAAATACATCCCAACGTTCGAATTTGAAACCTTCCAAAGGGAATCTCAAACCAAGTACGGTTAGGTTCAGAATGGTAACAAGTTCTGATAATGAAGGGCAAACTTTCGATACGTGGAGTAATGGTAATTCCTAAATGATATTGCTTGGGATTGCTCTGGATTATGTAGTGAGAGTTGTGTGGTATGGGTCAGTATTAAGTTGTAACCAGCAACGGGGAATGGAATTTTTGTTTGGAAATTACCTTTGCATATTAGCCTTGGATGCGTTGATGCTCCTTGATCCAGTGCTCTATGCGGCAGGGAATAGGAAAGGCACAGACGGGGAATTAGCAAGACAAAAGTGAGGAATAAGCAAGGAAAAATCTGAAAAGAACATAAAATGAACATAATATACATTTCTCTTCGTTTTTGTCATTTTTGAAAAGAAAAAAACTCATTTTTCACTTTGAGATTTAAGGGTACATTTCCCCTAAATTACCCTAAACCGGTTTCTTTGTGAGGAGGAGTGGGTTTGTGAAATACTACTACTACTACTACTACTACTACTACTACTACTACTACTACTACTACTACTACTACTACTACTAATAATAATAATGATAATCATCATCATCATCATCATCATCTTAGTTCATTTGTATGGCGCCAAACTCCATACCAGCTCGTGTGCTCATGGCGCTTACATTATTACCCCAGTCAATGGATCAATTAGAAGCAAGTCATGTCTATGAAGCCAGAATCAATTTCATGTGCTACATTTAAGAAGTAAAAACAATTGTCACGAAGATAACTGTTTTCCGTGTATTCTGAAAGCAATATGATAACCGTCTGATTGATTTTTGACCGTGTTGTGCGTGACTTACTAGTGATAACTTTTAGTCACTGGGTGTCACGTTTCAACATTATTACGTTACTATGTTTTCGCATTTTGTCAAAATATGTTTGTTACGAATTTGTCATGCACGTCTTTATATGTTTGTTAATACTCTTTAATATTGATAATGTTGTCTCCTTTTGATTCGAATTGAATTTCCGTTTATCGAACTTTACATGGGTACTCGGTAGTATGAAACTTGACACATGAAGACAAATTTCTCAGGCTCATAGTTAATATGCTGCCGAGGGAGTTGATCATGACAAAGCGAATTAAAGCTCATTGATCCGTTGACCGGAATAATAACATACCACAAGATTTGCGCATGCCTGAGTTGAGTTTAGAATCGATTAATTATTATTTATACTCATAAGACCTACGCTAGAATATGATTAGTAGAAAAAGCAATAATGATCGAAAAATTATACCCAAGAGTATTCTAACACGGACGGCCTCAACATTGTCCAGGTTAAATACCGATTTCACTAATGATCAATATTCTTGCTCAGAAGATTTGATTCGGGATGTACTATATTCTAAGGTCTTTTCAGTGTTATCAACAATGGATTCTATAACCGTGGGTGTGACCATCGATACATCTGAGTTGGTCAGACACTATATTATATATACAACATTATATATACCCTGTCGTAATGGACCTGTTCCCCTAAGCGTCATACATTCGCAAGTCAATGTAAATTTGAGGTGGCACCAGTCAGTATGTTCCGACAATATCCAATCCAGGTCTGGATTTTTAACTTTGCACCATGTGTACAATTAAGACATTTCCAGTGCACCTAGGGCAATAAGTAACTGACAGATTGATCATAAAAGACAGCAAGGTGGTGTTTGACAGATTGGAGTCAAACTTGCTGGGACCGCCAATTAGCTTGAACCCAGACCCCCTTTAAGGAACTGCGATAGGGGGGTAGTTAAAAATATACAAAACCAGAGGTTATTCTGTTCCATGGGATAGCTTGAGTCGAGGTAAGAATTTTGGGTCGTCAGTCAGAGTTCGATTCCCAGTATGGTACAATGGTCGCAATCCAGGCGTAACTGCAATATTGTAAGAAGAAGCTTAAAACCCTACAGTTTCACCTTCCGGCACCCGGGGTAGTCCCCCACTGTGTCCGTTAGTAAGCGTGGGGGACTGCACGATTGAAGTATCGATCTTGTGTTCGCGCTATCAGCCTTCAAGTAAGCCCCAGAACGACCACGAAGCATTACAACACGTAGTTGCACGATACAGATTGAGAAATGACAATTTGGTGACCTGAGTTAAACGTCAGACAGTAACAAAGTCCAATCAAGTAATCCCCCACAAAGTAAACACTTCAATATTGTACGGTAGAGGGCGGAATGCGAACACAGTACCTGTTTGAAAAGTAGTCGCTTTATTGAACAGTTTGATAAAACGTCATCATTAGGAAACATCGATAGATTCATGAGCGTGTGTTTGAGACGGGCGTTCGTCGTGACGCAACGCGGCGGCTGGACATTGCTGGGCGGCCAATAAGCTGTCTCTGAGTGGGAAGTGTGGGCTGGCCTAGTCTTAAAGGAAGGCACTCCAGCTTCCGAGAGTTGTGCTAAGCCTATACCGTGTAATGGACTTGCTCGCCCGCTCTTAACACTGCATCAATACTATCACATAGACCGGGGGCGGCCGTGCTAAACAACCCAGCTTGGGTGCCTTGCTCAGTGACGGAACGATAGGGCTTGAACGAACCTTGTAAGAGCTGGGCTGGCACAATTTATGAAATAAAGTTGGAAAAAAATTAAAGACGGTTTAGGCAGTTCTGTGATAGCGAACAAGGAGTTTAAGTGAAAAGACAGTAAAGATCAAAGAAACTTGATTACAGGTATGGATTCCCAGCATTCGTGGTGCATCTCCTTCACAGCATTGATCTACCTGGCGCTCCTACTTCAACCTGCAACAGGTAAGACATATTGTTTTTTGTAACTGGACAGACAATTTGATATATGTATCTGAGTATATTATAACTTTGGATACAAATCATGGCAAATATTATATGTATGTCCTGTATGTTTACCAATAGGGTTTCATAAATGTATGAATTCTTTTCTTCTAAACCTTGATTTATGTATTGGATAATAAATCAACTTTGATCGGCAATACAAATACTTTTTATATGCAAGGGAACGTACGAATATCATTCAGATAATTAAATATGAGTAAAAAATACACGTCTTCAATATCTGTTTGAAAAAAGTGGCTGGATATTTTGAATGAGCATAATATCACTCAGGGACATTGCAATTCCCTTGAGGAATGTCCTGTTTTTTAAGATTCCTAGTATCAAGAAGTGAGCGTAATACCCCCATGCCGTAGTAGTCACGTAACCTGGAGGGGATATTGGGGTGATGGTGTTAGAAGATTGGTTCTTTGTAAAGTCCCCATTGCAGACAATACAGATTACCCTATACGGATGTATTTGCTTTTATTCATTGATAAGCATCTAAACTCCCCGAAACGGATAGGTAAATTAGCATAAACACATCATTAAAATTCATTTCTATAAATTCTCATAAATACTGATGTTATAATGAAGATTGTCATGGCAGCACTTCAGTACCAAAACTAAGAAGCTTCTGATGAGTGTAGGCCGAAACATGATGCTGTGCAAGTATTAAGAGTCGTGACATTTGACAGATACACAAAACCAATGCCACGTCGTTTGCATGACCATTAAATGGTTTGTTCTCTGTAAGTAGAAGATACATTTGGGGCATTTCAGAGGCAATATAGTACCCGGCAGGACATCACGAGCTATATGGTGGCACTGCTATATAGTTGACAGTGCACACACCAATGCGATACTTTGTATATATCAGGGATGAACTTGTTATCATTTGCTGACGACAAATCGTTCAGAGTATAACAATATAAAAGACCCGAATGGTGATTTTGACGCTGAGTTTATTATTGATAAAACCCACATACATATATCCTTTTGGATGAACCCAAAGAAGAGCAATAAGGGAAGCTTTACTGTATCCCTACCAATTCTCAGACTGACCAAAGATGACTGATCAGTGTGGTGCATATCATTTCCCCGTGTAATAGTACGTTATAAAGTTACATAATTGCTATGGGATACATTTATTTTTTAATCGAGCAGTCACATAGAAGTTGTCGGGGATACAATGTGATAATTGTACGTTCTCTTTACAAAATCAGAGGCATTTGCTTGTCAATATCTTCTTCTGCTACATACTGTAAGAAACTTGCTGTTAACGCTTACGTCTATATCATTGGACAGAAGCATTCTTACCTGGAATGACCGAGGGACATAAAGAGAGTTTCAGATAGGGGACTGAAAGAGGTCAATACCAAACTGTTATTGTGCACAATAGGTCATGCAGTATTCGGTGAGATAACAAAAGTGAATTACTTGCTACCAACGCTTCACACCTCATTAACGTCGACAATAGTCCGAAATCGTGACTGTGAACATGTGCACACTATCGAGTGCATGCAAACCGAACACATTTATTAACGAGAAACAAACTTAAAGAAATGTATTTCATTCGACAATCTGCTGACAGAAATCAGTTTTTGATTAAGTTGATCCCTTATTGCCACTGCTATTACTGAGGTGTTAAGATTTAAACCTTCACTACCGTATTCCACTACGACCAGAATCCTCTCACAGCATTCGTATCATGGTATCAAAGATACGTGTGCATTTCGGTATTAGCAAAATTCCATTGGAGCTATAGCAATCTAGCCTCATTATAACTCTTTGTAAACTGGTCTGAGGTTTTGTTTGAAGAAACATTAGAACACATCATTTAATTATCAGATTATTGCCTGATGCTGATGTTGTTCTAAAACAACATTATTATGAAATCAACTGACATTATAAACACCTGTGAGAAAATGCTCTTCTGTTTCCAGGTTGCATTTAAAACGCCTCAATTGTTCTTCCTGTCAGGTAGTTTAAAGAGAGAATTGAAATATGGATATCAAAATAACAAAAAGATCACACTTTTTTCCCGAATTGTCTTGAAGTTAAAAACCTGATTCTGTAGTTGTATAATATAAACACAATATGTTCACGACTATCACTTATATCTTTCATTGTATTCTATGCATTCACATTCCATTCCATTGGGTGGCAGCGAAAACGAAATAGGGGTGAAAATGATATGAAAGGATCACTGAAAATCGCTTGACACCAGGTGTAACAATTGTACGGCTAAATATATATGTAAGCAAGGTCATTATACACAAGAATGTTATATTGAAATATATTTCCCACAATGAAGAGAAATCATGATTTGTGGAAAAAAGAAAACCAGCGCTATCTTGTTAAACGTCTTCACGACGAGATGGCGTAATGACATGTACAAGCCTTCACATTGAGATGGAGTAATGACATGTACACGCCTTCACATCGAGGTGGCGTTATGGCATGTACACACCTTCACGGCGAGATGGAGTAATGGCATGTACACGCCTTCACGGCGACATGGAGTAATGACATGTTCACGCCTTCACATCGAGACGGGGTAATGACATGTACGCGCCTTCACATCGAGATGGAGTAATGACATTTTAACGCCTTTACAGCGAGATGGAGTAATGACATGTATACGGCTTCACATCAAGTTGGAGCAATGACATGTACGCGCCTTCACATCGAGATGGAGTAATGACATGTACACGCCTTCACATCGAGATGGGGTAATGACATGTACACGGCTTCACATCGAGATGGAGTAATGACATGTACACGCCTTCACGACGAGATGAATTAATGACATGTACACGCCTTCACATCGAGATGGAGTAGTGACATGTACAGGCCTTCACGGCGAGATGGGGTAATGACATGTTCACGCCTTCACATCGAGATAGGGTAATGAAATGTACGCGCCTTCACATCGAGATGGAGTAATGGCATGTACACGCCTTCACATTGAGATGGAGTAATGACATGTACACGCCTTCACGACGAGATGGAGTAATGACATGTACACGCCTTCACATCGAGATGGAGTAATGACATGTACACGCCTGCACGACGAGATGGAGTAATGATATGTACACGCCTTCACATCGAGGTTGAGCAGTGACATGTACACGCCTTCACATCGAGATTGAGCAATGACATGTACACGGCTTCACATCGAGATGGCGTCATGACATGTACGCGCCTTCACATCGAGATGGGGTAATGACATGTACGCGCCTTCACATCGAGATGGAGTGGGGGCGGTCGGGTAGCCCAGTGGTTAAAGCGTTCGCTCTTCACGCCGAAGACCCGGGTTCGATTCCCGACATGGGTACAATGTGTGAAGCCCATTTCTGGTGTCCCCCGCCGTGATATTGCTGGAATATTGCTAAAAGCGGCGTAAAATCAAACTCACTCACTCACTCAAGATGGAGTAATGACATGTACACGCCTTCACAGTGTGATCGAGTAATGACATGTACACGGCTTCACATCAAGTTGGAGTAATGACATGTACACACCTTCACGGTTTAGATGGAGTAATGACATGTACACGCCTTCACAGCGAGATTGAGTAATGACATGTACACGCCTTCACATCGAGATTGAGTAATGACATGTACACGCCTTCACGGTGAGGTGGATTAATGACATGTACACAACTTCACATCGAGATTGAGTAATGAGATGTACACGCCTTCACAGCGAGATTGAGTAATGACATGTACACGCCGTCACAGCGAGATTGAGCAATGACATGTACACGGCTTCACATCGAGATGGAGTTTTGACATGTGCAAGCCTTCACATCGAGATGGAGAAATGACATGTACACGCGTTCACATCGAGATTGAGTAATGACATGTACACGCCGTCACAGCGAGATGGAGTAATGACATGTACACGCCTTCACATCGAGATTGAGCAATGACATGTACACGGCTTTACAGCGAGATCGAGTAATGACATGTACACGCCTTCATGGCGAGATTGAGCAATGACATGTACACGGCTTCACATCGAGATTGAGTAATGACATGTACACGCCTTCACATCGAGATGGAGTAAGGACATGTACACGGCTTTACATCGAGATGGAGTAACGACAAGTACACGGCTTCACATCGAGATGGAGTAAGGACATGTGCACGGCTTCACAGAGAGATGGAGTAATGACATGTACACGCCTTTACATCGAGATGGAGTAAAGACATGTTCACGCCTTCACATCGAGATGGAGCAATGACATGTACACGGCTTTACATCGAGATAGGGTAATGACATGTACGCGCCTTCACATCGAGATGGAGCAATGACATGTACACGCCTTCACATCGAGATGGAGTAACGACATGTTCACGCCTTCACATCGAGATGGAGAAATGACATGTACACGCCTTCACATAGAGATGGAGCAATGACATGTACACGCCTTCACATCGGGATGGAGTAATGACATGTTCACGCCTTCACATCGAGATGGAGTAACGACATGTTCACGCCTTCACATCGAGATGGAGAAATGACATCTACACGCCTTCACATCGGGATGGAGCAATGACATGTTCACGCCTTCACATCGAGATGGAGTAAGGACATGTACACGGCTTTACATCGAGATGGAGTAAGGACATGTACACGGCTTCACATCGAGATGGAGTAAGGACATGTGCACGGCTTCACAGAGAGATGGAGTAATGACATGTACACGCCTTCACATCGAGATGGAGTAAAGACATGTTCACGCCTTCACATCGAGATGGAGCAATGACATGTACACGGCTTTACATCGAGATAGGGTAATGACATGTACACGCCTTCACATCGGGATGGAGCAATGACATGTACACGCCTTCACATCGAGATGGAGTAATGACATGCACACGCCTTCACATCGGGATGGAGCAATGACATGTACACGCCTTCACATCGGGATGGAGTAATGACATGTTCACGCC